GGAGACTCGGGGCTTGTAGTCCTTTTCCTTGAAGCAGAAATGAGCCAGGGAATCTCTTTGGACAATGGGAGGGCTCCCACTGGACACCCTACAGAGTCTGCCCCAGCAGCGCAGTGGAGCACAGGTCAGACACTGGGCTCTAGCTTCGTTTGTGCTGACTGGCCGTGTAACCAGCAGCAAATCATCTCCTCTAAATTTTGGTTTCCTGATTTCTTACATCACGGGGATGTCTAGGCCTGTCCAGCACGAAAAATATGTGGAGCACTTTAAAAGAGTAGATGTTCATGGAACACCACCAGTTCTAATAACTCTCATGAATAAACTGATAACAATTTTAAGAAGATTAAAAAGCAGGTAGGAAAGAAACAAATTGCCCCTTTCCAAGGCTGACATCCCTAAGAAAAAGAAATGCAAAAAGACAAAGTGGTTGTCTGACAAGGCCTAACAAATAGCTGAGAAAAGAAGAGAAGCTTAAGGCAAAGGAGAAAAGGAAAGATATTCCCATTTCAATGCAGAGTTCCAAAGAACAGCCAGGAGAGATAAGAAAGCCTTCCTCAACAATTAGCGCAAAGAAATAGAGGAAAACAATAGAATGGGAAAGTCTGGAGATCTATCTCTTCAAGAAAATTAGAGATACCAAGGGAACATTTCATGTAAAGATGAGCACAATAAAGGACAGAAATGGTATGGACCTAACAGAAGCAGACGATATTAAGAAGAGGTGGCAAGAATACACAGAAGAACTATACAAAAAAGATCTTCATGACCCAGATAACCACAATGGTGCTATCACTCACCTAGAGCCAGATATTCTGGAATGCGAAGTCAGGTGGGCCTTAGGAAGCATCACTGTGAACAAAACTAATGGAGGTGATGGAATTCCAGTTGAGCTATTTCAAATCCTAAAAGATGATGCTGTGAAAGTGCTGCACTCAATATGCCAGCAAATCTGGAAAGCTCAGCAGTGGCCACAGGACTGGAAAAGGTCAGTTTTCATTCCAATCCCAAAGAAAGGCAATGCCAGAGAATGCTCAAACTACCACACAGTTGCACTCATCTCACACGCTAGTAAGGTAATGCTCAAAATTCTCCAAGCCAGGCTTCAGCAATACGTGAACCGTGAACTCCCAGATGTTCAAGCTGGATAGAAAAGGCAGAGGAACCAGAGATCAAATTGCCAACTTCCATTGGATCATCGAAAAAGCAAGAGAGTTCCAGAAAAACACCTTCTTCTTCATTGACTATGCCAAAGCCTTTGACTGTGTGGATCACCACAAACTGTGGAAAATTCTTCAAGAGATGGAAATCCCAGGCCACCTGACCTGCCTCCTGTATGCAAGTCAAGAAATCTGTATGCAAGTCAAGAAGCAACAGTTAGAACTGGACATGGAACAAAAGGCTGGTTTCAAATTGGGAAAGGAGTATGTCAAGGCTACATATTGTCACCCTGCTTATTTAACTGATATGCAGAATACATCATGAGAAATTCTGGACTGGATGAAGCACAAGCTGGAATCGAGACTGCCAGGAGAAATACCAATAACCTCAGATATGCAGATGACACAACCCTTATTGCAGAAAGTGAAGAACTAAAGAGCATCTTGATGAAGGTGAAAGAGGAGAGTGAAAAAGTTGGCTTAAAACTCAACATTCAAAGGCAAAGATCATGGCATCCAGTCTTCATGGCAAATAGATGGGGAAACAATGGAAATAGTGACAGATTTTATTTTGGGGGGCTCCAAAATCACTGCAGATGGTGACTGCAGCCATGAAATTAAAAGACACTTGCTCCTTGGAAGAAAAACTGTGACCAACCTAGACAGCATATTAAAAAGCAGAGACATTAATTGACCAACAAAGGTCCTTCTAGTCAAAGCTTTGGTTTTTCCAGTAGTTATGTATGGATGTGAGAGTTGGACTATAAAGAAAGCTGAATGCCAAAGAATTGATGCTTTTGAACTATGGTGTTGGAGAAGACTCTTGAGAGTCCCTTGGACTGCAAGGAGATACAACCAGGCCATCTGAAAGGAAATCAGACCTGAATATTCATTGGAAGATTAGTCCTGAATATTCATTGAAAGGACTGATGCTGAATCTTCTGAAACACCAATACTTTGGCCACCTGATGCAAAGAACCGACTCATTTGAAAAGACTCTGCTGGTGGGAAAGATTAAAGGTGGGAGGAGAAGGGGATGACAGAGGATGAGATCATTGGATGGCATCACCGACGCGATGGACATAAGTTTGAGTAGGCTCCAGGAGTTGGTGATGGACAAGGAAGCCTGGCGTGCTGCAGTCCATGAGGTCGCAAATAGTCAGACACGACTGAGCGACTGAACTAAACTGAACTGATGCCTTCAAGGCACTTGCAATCTAATGTCCTTTCCAGACTGGCACTGAATTCAGCCACATGTTTATTCAAAAAACTACTCTGCATAAAGTATCAAGCCCTGTGAGACACTTAGGAGAAACCCTCTTATGTGGTCAATACTTTCTGAAATTTATAATCAACCAATTACACAAGTACATAATAAACATAAGCATACCTGTTACATGCTAATTAATACTGCACTGTAAGTAAGTGCTGCAGAAGTTTTTCCAGGAATTCACAGGAGGGGTATAGAAGTCATGATGCAGCGAGTAAAAGTAAAATTTTAAAGGCTAATTGTCATTTCCAAACTTAAATTACTTGAGTAATTTTAAATATCTGGAACTGTGAAAAGGAGCTGGACAGGACTGAGCAACTGAACTGGCTGAAGGCTGACTTTGTAAATCAGCAGTGAGCTACACTGAGTTCTTAGTATAAAACCTCTCCTAACTGATTGAGTTATATTCTAGTTATATTAGCTGAGCTTCCAAGTTTCATTCAGAAATACAGAATGAGGTGGTATTGGTCTAGTATGTTTCTGGTATTTTAGGCCAGTATTGCTCAAACCAGATGATTCAGATTTGAAGGTAGGCAAGAATTTGTTTAGGTGGCCATTTAACTTAGAGGCAGAATCACACTTAGTTCTCCATATTATATAAGCCAGTAAACCTTTGTTTCAGGATTTTATACACACCTACAAACATATAAGTTTGTATGTGTGTGCGTGTTCTCTTTCATGAGATAAAATGTATTTCTGTGAGTTTAGAAGCAGCTGGTTTAAGCTGAGCTATGTGATTAAGCCTTAATAATATAATCTTAATTTTCATCTGAGGTTCAGTTTAGCAGGAGATACATGGAACATAGTATGAGGCAAATCCATAATACCAGACAGATTCAGGATTGTTACCTCTCCTGTAATGGAAAACTAGAATTGGCTGGAAAAGTAATTGACCTTTTTAGATTTGCTGTTCATTTTACTATGGATATTGTAGTGGAGAAAAAACTCTTTAGTTACGTTCATCGCAAAAGACCAGTAAACTAAAATAGCTAGAATCTCTCTTTTGGTAATCCATTTTATTTCTGTACTGTGAACTATAATGATCAGTGACAAGAAAATAATTTGATTCTTTCGAAAAAAAAAAAAAAACAAAGTGGCTAGTGTTAAAATACACAATTTAGAGAATTTTTAATCTTTTGAAAATTGGTAATGGAGACATGGCAAAGGTAATAAGTGCAGTTAATGCTGGACAGATTTTTATCACATTTAGCAAATATTCTTGAAATGGTCTAACTTTAAAAATCGTAGGTTCGCCTAAGCAGCTGCGTAGACCAGCTGGTTTTGAATATGCCCTTAGTTATGTAAAAGGATGTGGTAAAATTCTTAAGAAAAAAGGAAGGGCTTCATTTAAACTTCATGGGCTGATCAAGCTGATCTTTCATGGAACAAGTTACAATGTGTTTTGTTTTGTTTTAAATTTTTTAATCGAAGGATAGTTGCTTTACAGAATTTTGTGGTTTTGATTGCAGTGACAAACACAACTTGGTAAAGCTACAAAAGGGAACCATTGAAAAAAATCTCTTGTCTGACTTGTAACACTCACTCCAGACACAAACAGTAACAAATCTGTCAGCAGTCAGTGATATGAATAATCGAGGCACTGGTGATTTGTTGATGTGCTGAAGCAAAGCTCGTTGATCTTTTTCACTCTAATGCCAATAGTTGGGTACAGAGCTTACATTGCCTTCTGGTGTCCTTCCCTCATCTGCACCCCTCCTCTTTTGCTTATTAAGTCATGTCTCAGCAGTTCCTGAGAATTACTATTAATACGGTAGAAGGAAAAAAATGGTTTGCTATATAAGGGCAATAGTACAATCCCTGCACTCCTATCTAGGGCATAAGAGCACAGACCTTGGAATCAGACTTGGAGTCAGATCTCTTGTACACCATTTATTAACACTTTGATCTTAAGTAAACTCTGTGGCTTCTCAGAGTTTCAGTTGTCATCTCTTAAGATGGAGAATAGAATTGCCTACTTTATAAGTATTTTATGAGGTTCTGTAAAATTTCAGTGAGATAAGTGCTCATCTCTATCCATGTTGTTCAGTGTGTTTGTTCTTGCTATTATTGTTATTATATTTATAAAAAATAAAATGATAATATTAAATCAATATTAAATTAAATAATTAAAACAATATTTCCCCAAATTGTTTGCATATTCCTTGTTTGCCCAAAAAAATGTCATTTGGGGCCAGACTTGCTTTCCAAGCTCTAGCTCCTCTGACTGTTCCCTGTACCTATTATATATACAGGGCATGTAGTGGCCAAAAAGATAAATTCATGACTTTTTGTGACTTTTGCAATATGTGTAGTCTTCTATACAGTTGTATTCTAATGCTTTTTTGTTCATGAAAAAGCAATAAGAATACAGGGTTATGTTGTGTATGCACTTGGAATCGCCATATAGCATACCTGGGTGTCATCACTGACTAAACAATGTGATACTCATGAAAGATTTGTTTGAAAGTTATATCAAGAGTAGTGGTAAATGGAATTAAAGTTGTAGTCTATTGATTTTTTTAAAGATTTTCTAAAAACATAATAATAAATCTATGTTGTTTTCTCTTTAACAGATGGGTCTAGGTCATGAGCAAGGATTTGGAGCCCCCTGTTTAAAATGCAAAGAAAAATGTGAGGGATTCGAACTGCACTTCTGGAGGTAATGTTTTAAAAACTAAAACCACATTAGTAATTTCTACTTTTTGGCGCTGCTTCCTCAGACACTGGAGACTGCTTACAAGTTATCCAGCATGGTTGCTCAGTTGTGATCTATTGTATTCTTTTCTAAGAAATAAATAAGAAATAAAGATATTCTGACTTCCTATCATTATTTGAGCTTATTGGGCTATAGTGACTGTATTTATTTGCTTGATTTATTTGCTAGTTTTCAGTTTTCCTGTGAGACTAAAATATTGAATATGTCTTTTCTCTGAGTGGCAAATAAGTTTATGGTAATCCTGAAGGACTATTTATTAATTTAATTGTTATTCTTTTATTAAGAATGGACAATTATTCTTTTATTAAAATGGACAACTATGCACATCTCATCTGTATATTTGTGATTAAACAATAAATACAATGAGTTGAGCATTCATGTCCTAGTTGTCAGGAAATGGACTTGAATCTAGTTGTTTTTGTTTTTTTTTTCAAAATTTTCAGCTGGGTAAATTTACTACTGAAAACCTTTGAAAAGCTTGAGTTTAAAAAAATGATAATCCATTGCCATTGTCTTGATTTGAATCAAGTGCCTACATATGGAAGACAAATGTTAGTGGATCAAAAATGTGAATTTTTTATAGCTCTTATTTGCATGTTTCTTTTAAAATCATTATTCTATGTCATATAAACCTAAAACTGGTATTTTAAATCCAGTCTTTTAAAGAACATAAATGTCGTTCATCAGTGGCTGCCAAGACCATAACGATAGAATTAGCACATTATTGCTACAAGAAAAAGATTAAAGTGATCAATACATCATTAGGATGGCAGCTGACTGTTAGAATGAATCTCATTTGAGGACCACTCTTGCACTGAATATTTCCATAGGAAACACTGTCGAATAAAAAATGTCATTGGCTCTGGGGTTGTATACAGTATAAGCTAAAGAAGAATGTAAAATAAAATTTGGGATATTAAGTTTCCTTAAAAGCTCATTTACATAATAAGTTTTAGGAAACAAGGACAGTTTTAAATAGTGAAGGCAAAGGAAACTTAGCCCTCCCCCAAATGATGATATAATTCTTTATGTGTAAGGAGCTAAAATGGTCCAGGGAATTTTAAAATTACAAGACTTTACTGGATCTTCTTTGTGCTACCTCTCCAAGGGACATAGCAGTCTGTGAATATGTCCGTAATATTTTGGCAAGGTAAAGTCACCAGACACAAAATAGTTGTCATGCGTTAGAATATTCCAGCTCCTAATGAGAGCACAGCTCTTTGGACTCAGTGGGTTTTGTGGAGAGCTGCACTGCCCTCTGCTGGACACAGTTCTTGCTTTGCAGTCTCAAGTCATGCTCTTTTTAGTTTGACTATACATTTGCCAAAACTGCTAATGAGATTTTTATTTAAAGCTTACTATCTGAGAATCTGTTAAGAACCATAAAAGACTACCTCTTCTTCTAGTTCCTAACCACAGTGTTGGGTATGTGATGTAAGCTGACCCAGTCATGGTACATCATTTCCTTGTTCGCACTGGTTGGTTAATTTATCCATTTATGGGCACTTGACAAAAGTCAGATCAGTTGAAACTCTTCCTAGAGGTGGCAGTTGTTGAATAATTTTACCATCTAGGGACCTGCAAACTTCTTCTGTTTCTGATTGCCTCAGGTTGCTTATAAGAAACCATATGCAAGTAAAAAGAAACAAACTCTGGCTACTGCCTAGTAGTATTTTCATTAGCATGTTGCTGCCTGATCTCCCAGGGTCTCAGAACTCAGGCTGAGTTATTTTCTGTTCCACACACATTCACCAAGCATCTGTTATGATTTAGGTATTTTGTCATGTGCTAACTCCAATACTTTGGCCACCTGATGTGAAGAGCTGACTCATTTGAAAAGACCCTGATGCTTTGAGGGCACGAGGAGAAGGGGACGACAGAGGATGAGATGGTTGGATGGTGTCACCGACTCAATGGACATGGGTTTAGGTGGACTCCGGGAGTTGGTGATGGACAGGGAGGCCTGTCGTACTGTGGTTCATGGGCTTGCAAAGAGTCGGACATGACTGAGCGACTGAACTGAACTGAAGAAAGATAAAGTCCCTGATCTTACCCAAAGTGTAGAGTCCTATGATTTACTAGTTTCTCTATGTTCCCTAGAGTATTTGAGAAGTTATTTATCCCCCATAATACAGTTTTTTCCCCCTACATTTTCCCTTACATAGTCAGCACAAATGATATTGGTTTCTTTATGCTGTTGGGTAGCTGCTCAACCCTCAGATCATGGCTTAAATGTTACCTCTTCAGATAGGTTTTTTGTTTTCTCTTATTTCCCCATTTACGTGGATTTATTCTGTTGCTGCTCTGTCTTAATGTACCATGTTGCTTTCCTTCCTGATACACATTGTTCTAGGGCTTCCAAGCTGGCTCAGTGGTAAAGAATTCACCTACCAATCTAGGAGACACAAGAGATGCAGGTCCAATCTCTGAGTCGGGAAGCTCCTGGAGTAGAAAATGGCAGCCCACTCCAGCATTCTCGCCTGGAGAATCCCATGGACAGAGGAGCCTAGTGGGCTGGGTCACAGAGTCAGATACAACTGAGCACGCATACATGTTCACACATATTCATAAAAGACTAGGGCTTTGCCACAGGTTCCGGTCTAACTTGGATTTATATAGTCTGTACAAATGGTGTTATTTAGTAGTTCTGTCTTCTTCCTGGCATGAGTCCAGGCACATTTCTCAGAATTTTTGATAATTCCTTGACCTTTTCACCGCAGCTGGAAAGCTTGAGGGTGTCTCTGACCTCCAGATGAAAAGACCTCCAGTCTTTGAAGACTTTTACAGACTTTCTAAGGCTGGTTGTCCTGAGTGTAACAAAGATTCCAGATTTGGTCCAGGGCCCCAGAACTGCTGTGATTGAAGTGGACATGGGGTCTCAAGTTCCTGCCCACTTAACCTCCTCCTCCATCTTCATGGTGACCCTTGACTTCTAACACCCTTAGGGCTTCTTGGACCACATTGTGAAAATCAGAGCCTAGTTATTCTTCACTTTTATCAGTCTGACCTTCTATGCAGCCACAAGAATGGTCTTTTGAAAATGGATACTATTGTGTACTTACCAATAGCTTAAGAATCTTAATGCTTTCCCACTGGACTTGATCCTTTGAACAAAGTCTTTGGCTTTGATCTCAGAATCTGTCCTCTGCTTACTCTTCCAACCTTCCTTCCATTTCAAGTACCCTGTGCTTCAATTACTTAGACACATGCTGTTTCCTAAAATGTCTGTGCCTTATCTCATGTTCCCTTTGCCTGGAAAGACCCTGTATGGTCAAACTAAAAAGAAATCTCACCACATGGAAACAAAGTCCTTCCTGTTCTCTTCAAGTCTTGGCCCAGGCAAGAGAAGTCTCTTGTATCTGAGAAGTCGTCTTTGCTCCCTGTATTAGTCAGCTCAGCTTCTGTAGTAAAGTACCATAGATTGATTTCTTAATAGCAGAAATGTATTGTCTTACATTTCTGGAGGCTAAAAGCCCAAGACTAAAACATGAGTATGGTTGGGTTCTGGTGAGGAACCACTTCCTGGTTTGTAGATAGCCACCTCTGGCCGTATCCTCACATGCCCTTTTCTCTGTGTGTGTACATGCAGAGAGAGAAGGTCTCTCCCCTCTTATTATATGGCCACCAATCCTATCTGATTAGAACTCCACCCTTATGATCTCATTTAAAGTTTACCTCCTAAAAGCTCTCCCAGTACAGTCACATTGGGGGTTAGAGCTTCAACATATGAATTGGGGGAGAGACCCTGTTCATTCCATAGCACCCTCTTTTCCTGGTCCACACACACCCAAGTAAAGTAAATCATTTTCCCCTTTAGCACCTTGTACACGTGTAGAAAGCTAGGAAATAAATGCCCAAATTTCCTTTTCTTCACTGTTCGGACCTCCTGCTGGTGCTTTCCATCGGTGGGCAAGGCAGCCCACTGCGGCAGTCCTTGCGGGTGTGCCTGCCACGGCACTGCGCAGGGCACTGTGCAGAGTGGGTCTAGAGCGCGCGTGGCAGAGCCCCAGCAGGCACGGCTGCCTGGTCAGAGTGTGTCTCAGAGCTTGTAGAAGCTGAGAACGAACTCACACACACGAACCTTTATAGTGGGACTCGTAAGTTAGCTAGCCAAAGCTCATTTTACAGATCGAACTAAAACCCAAAGGAGTTTTTTTAAAAAAGACTTATCTGAGCCTGTTGGTTCTTAGTAAGAAATATATGAACATCTTCTTTGTCGCACACCAATAAACACTTGTCTGTTGCTCCATACAAATTACTATAATTTTAGCAGGTTAAAACAATAACTGGATGTTAATTAACTCAACATCCATTTGCGCTTTAGGTCAGAAGCAGCTGGATTCTTAGGCTTAGGCTCCTAAAAGGCTGAAATCAGGGTGTTGGCCAGGTTGAGCTCTAAGAATCTGCCTCCAGGCTCACTCCTTAGGTAGGTAGAATTTATTTCTCTGTGATTGTGGGTCTGAGGTCCCTGTTTCCTTGCTGGCTGTTAGCCAGGGGCTACTCTCAGCCTCGAAGCCACTCACATGGCAACCTCCAAGCCAACATAGTTGGCTTATAATCCTTTCTGCACCTCTGATCTCTTCAAATTCCTCTTACACTCCCAGCCAGAGAACTTATTATTTTTCTAAGGGCTCTTGTGATTAGATTTGGCACACCTGGATAATCTTTCCTTTTCCATATAAAGTAAATAAGAGGAATAATACCAAGGTGAAGGTCATAGGGACTGTCTTAAAATTCTGCTTATCACAGCAGTTTATTTACTTGATTGTACCTAATCCTCATAATACCTTTTGAGATAAGTGGTAGTATTCCTTTTTTATATTGGAGAAGTCAAAAGACTTAAGGAAAGTTAAATAACTTACTAAGGCATGGCTTATAGATGGCAGAGCTGAAATTTGGACCCAAAGCCTACCAAAACCTTCCTATCACCACCTTTCTATAGG